AATTCGCTTACTTTTTGTTCTTTCCTTAAATAAAAGTAAATATCGTGATCAAAAAAAAATCGTAAAGAAAATCACTTGATCAATGCCGAGGTTAATAGAAAGTCGGTCGTGGCAGTTAAATATCGTGAATTCAACTACAGCCTCAGCTTAACTGGGTTCAATGCCGATGTGTGCTCCCCAGATCAATCCCGTTGACGGGTGATTGGTGATGGCACTGATCGATGGAGTCAGCTGAGATACAGGTGAGACGAAGAACCGCATGATGTGGTGGTGAACGCGTTACCCCTCGGAAAGGGTAATGGCGCGTTCGCTCCCCACTGCAGACACCTGCGGTCCGGAGTTTTGCAAATATCTCAGCAATATTGAGATTGATCAAATAGTTCACTGTATTGATGAGCAAACATGCTATTGTTTTTGCACTCTTTATTGACCAAAAGCTGACATTTTTACCCAGCAAAGCACCTCCAAAACCAGAGCAGAAAAGAAAGCACGAAACCAAGCTTTCAAACGCATTGGGAACAAATTGGCTTTTTTCCACACTCACGGCTTTCTCCAATTCATTTAATGAGTGTTCCACGTGGAGACCAACAATAAAAGGTCATATAAATGGAGAATGTACCTCTCTCACACTAAAATATCACGTTTAAGTATTGCGCTAGATTACACCTGATAACAAGGTGTTCCTCTCTGCATTTCATTTTTGGATTCATGGAATTTATACAGAATGCCTCGAGAGTTTTACACGCTGAAGTTTTCGAATCGCGTACGGTGATGGTAACTTCTGCTTCAAAATATCCTCCGATATGCATCTGTGTCCTATGAGCCCCTAGTGGAGTACTTGCTTTAACTTTAGGTTTACCAACTAAGTGTTCTTTTATACGGACGAAGAGTGATCTTTGGCCAATGTACTCATCTTAGTACGTTTTGCAGGAGATTATGTTCACTCTAACCAAATTCATGCAATTAATCACCGCCTTTACCGTTAGGGCATGTTATGCAATTTTACGTTCAACGCAAACGGTCATACAGGCAGCTACGAAGTAGCTGAAATCTTAGAGTGTCCGCCGGTATTTCATTCACTGCTACCGAATTCTCTAGACCGGGAGTTCTTAAGCGACGTTTTGCGGCTGGCTGCACTCATTTCGTTTGAAATGAAGCGCGGGATAAACGGCACCTTATTTTTGCTGGAGTTCTTGTTTCGAGGTTTGAGTTTTCCTCTAAACCTTTCCCGACCATCTACAGTTTCTAGCCATTATAAATGGCTATTTGCCGTGCCAATTTCAAGTATTCTCCCCTTTGTCTTCTTCCTGTACGGGCACTGGTGGCTGTTCGAAACATATTTCTTACAAGCAACCTTTTTGATAAAAGGAGAGTGGTAAAAGGAGAGGTATTGAACCAGTATGTTTTGTGCCTTCGTTTTTCCTTTTTAACCAGGACCCGAAATGATAAATTTAGCGACAACAAGATCCCATTTACCCTGCCCTTTATTTCTAGCGAAATAAGTGCTACTTTGAAGAGTTGTTTAAAAGGAGCGAGTCTAGAGAATTCGATAGCAGTGATTGGATTGCCACCGAGCACTCTAAGAGACCGGATAGGTCGTAAGCACCTGTATTACCTTCTAGTTACAACGAAAAATTGCATAATATGAACTAACGATAGAGATGGCTGCTGTATGTGTTCGAATACGGTGTACAGCTAATCCCTTGTTGAGCACGTGGGATGAATAGGTTGGCGAAACCAGTAGACCACTAGTCTGTATAAAAGATTACCTATTCGGTAGACTAGGACTTAAACCAAATACTCCACCAGGTGCGCGTAGGACGCGGTTACATAACAGAGAAGATTTTGAAGTAGCAGTTACCATCTTTGCCCAGGGATCGAAAACTTTATTGGGCAAAACTCTCGAAGTATTCTGAATAAATTCCAAGAAGCCAAAAGTGAACCGCAGCAACGAAGGTCTGGATATAACACGTGGTCTCACAGAGTACTACGCTTCCGTATGAACCTGCGGAGTTGGTGGTGAGTGCGCGAAGAACCCATTTCATTTTCAATACAACTGAAATCTTGGTTTCCTGCTTTTTCTACTTAGACTATGGAGGTGTTTGGCTAAGTATGTTGCAGTCAACTAGAGCTTTTCAGGCACTGAAAAAGGCAAGATCCGCCAAATCACCAACTTTTTCATGGTCCTGTTTTGGGCATTTCATCGTAATGTCTCTCACGTGTTCTTTCCATTCTCGAGAATTTTTCCCACTCTGCTTCCGATTTTTCAATGCCGTTACAATATAACAACCAAAGTTATAAGACTGGCTTTAATGACATCATTGGAATTCTAATATGGACGAAACGTCGTCTGTTCTCCAATAGCTAGCCAACGAAGTCGATTTAGTGCGTGTTGTTGTTTCACGTTTCGTATAGCCCGTTCGTGGGAAGTCCACCATCAATTACCATCATACACATTCTAGATGAGTATGCTCTCCATTCCAATCGAGAGGTTTTGCATGGTTGCACCAACACAGTCAATAGTGTCAAAGCAGCTAAATAAGATGTAGCGCAATCGAATGCGGCCTTCATGGCGATGAAAAATTCCTTTATGAAGACAAACTACTATTAATAAGTTGACTGAAAGTGTGTTGATTTAAAGACGAATGGTAGATGACTCAGGAGAGAAACATAGCAGCTGAGTTAAGGAACTTCTTGAAGAAACCAATAGCCACGAAGCGAATTACGATATTCTCTATAATTCTTCCCAAGATCGACTTTCTCTTAACCTCGGCATTGGAATATGAATGTGTCGTTTTCTTGTTCAGCAATCGCGAGGTTTTTAAACAGCATACATTTACTTCGATAGAGAAACACAATACAATACAACGCTAGCTGACGTTTCGGCAGTATCGCCTTCTTCAGAGCCTGGAAGGGTATGCTGATATGCAATCTACTAGGCCAAACGCTTTAATGACACTTACAAAAAGACGAAGAACTCTTTGGTAATTACACGATCAACAACTTCTCGAAAAACCCACCGCTTTTTCGTGACTTCCAATGAGGAAGTTTAGAACAGCTGATTGTAGTCGCATGTGGTTGACGACTGCACCATCCCACATCAAAAATCGATGCGAACGTACGGGATCAGGTCGCGTATGACCTCCGGGCATTCGTCCCTGCTATTCATTGTAGGGCTTTTGGCGTTGATTCAAAAAGCCTCTAGGAGTTTTCGCGCTGGTGTTTTGAACTCCTGTGCAAGGATATTGACTTTTACTTCAAAATCGTCTCCGCTATGCTTTTGTATTCTATGCGTGCCTAGTGGGGTGCTTCGTCTTAGTTTTCGTTTGCCATCTAGGTGTTCTTTTATACGGATACACTATACATAAACATAAACACTTTATACATAAAAATACGGACACTTTATACATAAAAATAACTTATATCACCTATGAAGGACAAATGAAGGATAGAGCTTTTGGCATTGGTTAATCCCTGAGAGATGCGCCATGTATTCGACTTCATTAAGTATCGTTGGAGGTGATTGAATGTATATCTGGCCTTTACAATGACTCGCGGTGGCCTGCCGATGTGTTGAGTCAGTGATACTATCCTCTTGAACAGGTCTGGTACCAATTTGGCGACGCCGGAGGGATGGAGAGCTTAGTGGGCTATGGACGCGGGGATCGATACCATGTGCATTGGAAGGCGCCTTCAACCACTGAGCTACACGTGCCTTTATGCATCGAAAAAGTACTGCCATCCTCCCAGACAAGTCCGGTACCAATTTGCCGACCCCGTAAGGATCGAGACCTTGATGGGCCTGGGGCACGGGGATCGATCCCATGTGTATTGAAGGGCGCCTCCGAGCACTGCGCCGCTTGCGCCCTCTATGTCATGCATAACGTAAAAAACAACTTGAGCATTTTAATTTGAACCCAATGGATTGATGGTTCCTTTGGTAGACATTATAGAAGTGTTGTATATTGGTTTGTTATGCCATACAACGATAGATACGAAGAAAAAAAACTTTAACAAGAGAAAATGCTGTTCTTACACCAGAGTTTTCCAACAGCAGTATTCAATTACTATTAAAAACATATTTTTTGTAACAAATTTTTTGTAACAACTATCTTATTTTAACAATATTTGTTTGAAGTGCCGTTAGTGCATCCTAGAATATCTATGCACACATTATTCATCGATGACGTCACTTAAACGATGGTCAGTTTGAGCATGGCAATGGTTTTGAACATCTAGATGGAAAAGCTAAAATCCGTTTAAACACCCCTCTAGGTACGCATAGGGCACAAAAGCACAACGGCAATGGTTTTGAAGTGACTATGCGGATCCTAGCGCAGGAATCAAAAACATCAACGCGCAAAACTCTTGAGGCGTTTTGGATAAATTTGAAAAATCCAAAGATGAACCGGAAAGACGAATGCCTCACTATCACGCGTGACCTGGCGCCCTATTTCAAAATGATACTTTGACCCCGGGATGTGTCTTGCTCGTGACTCCACGAAAACAACGCGCGGGCCAGTACCTCACATAAGGTCACGGTGAGTGGCCTTTCTGTTCAATATGGCGTCTATTTGAAAGTTTGATCTTCATTAATACTTTAAGATTTTTCATCGATTAATAAAAATATTCTAATAAAAAATACGTCCAGGCTCTGAAGAAGGCGAAGTCGCCGAAACGTCAGCTGTCGATCAACAATATCAAAAACAACGACAACGATAACGAAGACTTGTACCAACCTCGCGTTAACCTAAGAAGATCAGTTTATAAGATCGTGTAAATAAATATGTCAACTATCTATGCCGAGGTTTATAGAAAGTCGGTCTTTCGGTCTTATCCCTTTATTGCAAGGAGCTCGAAAAACTGTCGGCGAAGGTTTACAGATTCTAACGATTTTCATTTTAAGCAGCAGAATATATCATTAACTGGGATGTAAGTTGAAAAGACAATGATTTTCTGCTACGTACGAGTGGAAATCAATTCATGCCGACCATTCTGCATCACTTTTCATCTTTCGTTACAATAACTCCCATCAATTTACTTGTCATCTTTCTATTTTGATTTAGAATACTCTGCAAAAAATGCAAGCTAATTAATCCTGTGGTTTGAATTACTCAAATGTCGCAGGGCCACAGTTAAAGACTCTGACAAAATTTGATATCATTTGGAGGAATTGTCGGCAGCATTCCACGTAGTCCATCGAATATTCTTCATAATTGATGAGAACTGGATAAATAATAAGGGGTAAAATATTTAGCGTTAGAAAATCCCTAAGGAATGCGTCAGGTATTCAGCTTTATTCGTAACATCGTGGAGGTGAATGGAAGCATAAATGGCATATAGAGTGACTTGCAGTGGCTTACCGACGTAGCAAATCGATGCTTCTCTATCCTTCCAGACAAATCTGGTGCTTATATACCAGAAAAATGGGGTAGAAAGCTTGTTGAACCTAGGGTCATAATCGAACCATCAAGTGAATGAGTGTGTATTGCAAGGTACCTCTAATCACTGCTCTGCAAGCTCTCGGATGGTACAATATCTCCTCATAAAGGTTCGTGGAAATCGCTAATCTTATTGATATACTATTTCTCCCAAGAAAATACGTATTGTCAACTTCACATGACTTTGTAATAAAACTCACCCTGAATTCCAATTCGTTCTTATTCACTATCGCGATAGCGAAGGAAGTACTATCTTTACGCACGGGAGTTACCGGCTTCACATAGACACTGATCGATTCGCTCTATAATGTATTTGACCTGGTAGCGATTATAATTTCAAGAATATGATTGTTATGAGCAAATTCACATTGCTGGCTCACCTTACGTACAACCTTTCCCATTATTCCAAGCGGGTCCTGATCGATGGCAATGACATCTCGATTTAGCAAAATGTTCCGGAATTCGGGCTTCAAGGATCGCAAATCGTTCGACATGATCAAAGGTGATGACCAAATAGACCTGTGATTAGATGACAGTTACTTGCTTTCATTCGTTCAACTGTTAAGAAATTGTATGAATTCACCAACCACAACGTCATCTGTAGTCTGGCCTGATCAAAGGTTACATTTGGCAACCCAATGACGAGCTAGAAAACCTCATTATTTAAAAATTCGCTTATATTTTGGAAAAAATAGCGAAGGTTTTCCGTATTTTGAGTACTTTTTTTTTCCAGAAAACCACAATTTTGTGATGAAACAGAGAGGGATCTTAATAGTTGCAATAATAAACAACCTTATAGAAAGTCTTGTTGTTGATTGAAGCCAGAAACCTACTCATTAATCTCAGTAGACTACTGGAACTTCGCGCTCATTTCAGATTACGAGCGACCCAACTCTGTTTCTATTATCTCTCGGCTTTGATCAATCCCTTAGGGATGCTCCATGCAGTCGACTACATTACATCGTTAGGGGTGACTGAATGCATATCTGGCTTTTAAATTTACTAGTGGTGGTCAACCTATCAGTGCTGCTTTCCCCCTAGACAGGTCTGGTAGCAATTTGCCGAATCCAGATGAATGGAAAGCTTGATGAGATTGGGATGGGACTGAACCCAAGTGTATTGCGCAGTGCCTCTAACCATTGCTCTACGTGCACCCTTCATTTCCTTTTTTATTACGGTGAAGCTTCACAGTATTACAAACAAGCTACCTCTCGTTTGAATAATTTGTCATCAATAAAGATAATTTCATTCTGTTGCTTTCTGTGAGACTCATATTTTCCCAGCAGTGATCCCATAGATGGCGAACTACTCTGACTTCCTCTGTTTCTTTGGTACATTACTCTTTTCACGAGCGTGGAGAAGATGTTCAGTTACAAAGTGAAATCTTCAAAGCCGTAGTAATATTGAACCACTGTTCGGTACGCTGCTCTGGGTTTGGTGTACGGTACCTGGTGTTGTGAACTAGAAACCCATTACAAGGGAACATGATGTGACCTCTTCTCAATGGCAGGGCCTTATAAGAATGGTTATAAGGAAGAATAAAAATAACATAAAACCAAGAATAGATAGTTACGAGGCTATTAGTACTGTTTTTATTGCCATTCATTTTAACGTATTGTTGTTTCTAAATCGAATGAGAAAGGACTATGCGTTCGGCGTTGACCAGTCCTTTAGGAATCTGCCATGAATTTGACTCCATTGAGCATTGTATAGGCGATTCAAAGAATAATTGGCTCATACAATGACTTGTGGCTGCATGCCGATCCATCAATTCGGTGTTTTCATCCTCCTAGATAACTCTGCTAGCGATTCATTGATTTCGCAAGCAATGGGGACTTACTTAACGCGGAGCACGGGGTTCAATCAACGATCATGAGTGTATTGCACGGCACCTTGTAACTACTGTGCCACATGCCCCTGCTGTTGTTTACCGTCGTCCATTCTTCGGAATCCACTTATTGCTACCGACGTAATCTCAAATGAATTTCCAAGGTCCTTGTTAAAGAAATAAAGAATACAAACAAAAATTCTGAGATACGAGCAAAGCTTGGGACCCTAGTTGTGCTTCGAGCCCTCGATTACGCTTTCCGGGAGCATACTTGCTATCCAAAACTCCAACCAAGGTCTTTGTTTTGGCTTTCTCCTAGCCAATTTTTAATCTATCTGCGCATCAGTTGTCAACGGGAATGATCCGGGCAGTACAAATCGGAATTGAACCCAGTTAAGTTGAAACTGCATCTGAAATCACAACGTTCTAGCTTTAATTACCATTTATTCTTCTTCCATTGCAGTGTTATACGTGAGATATAACCACAACGGTGCTGAGATGTGAGCAAAACTCGGAACACCAGTTGGACTCAGAACATGTGGCTATCCTTAGTCTCATGTGGACCGTGGTCTCATGTGCTTTCCGCCACACCAACAAAGGCCTTTTGCCGACTTGTGCTCACCAGACCATTCTTGTTGGCGCAGTGATAAAGGAAAAACATGGCAGAGAAAAAAGTAAAGCAAGGGCCTCGGTTGGTGTGGTGGATAGCTTGACAACGCCCGCTAAATGCAATTGAGTGTTCGAAACCCCTTGTTGTATTTCACACATTGCATCCTGCTATTAAAAAACAAAAGGTAGTAAATAAAAGTTAGAACATAGAGAAGAATAAATACAGAACTAAGATACCATATCAGGATCATTCCATCCTCCAGGCGCTTGAGCAGCCGCTAGCACATCCTGGTTATCGTCCATGTACTGAATGATGCCGGCAATGGACTTCCACGATCCCTCGATATCGAGGTAGATTCGCCATGTATTGCAAGTTGCCCTAACAGCTTTGTAGTTGACCTAGGAGGTTATAAAACTTCTTAAATTTCTTTCCATATCAAATTTTACTGGGGAAAGTTTACTATTCCTAGTACAGTTTTCATCATCCTGAAATAACACTACATCACAAAAACATCACTCGTCGACCCTATAGTTTTTTTCAATTTTTAACTTTCTCAGTTTTTCGTTCTTTTTTTCCATACCAAAGGTTTACGCCTCATCGTGGCTGGGAAGTGTTCCTGGTGTCGAACTGCGATGTACAGCGGGAGGATTCGTGTCCCAGGCAGGCTCTGCCAAGTTGAGGGGTCCGGCGTTTCCATCAGGAAGGCTAGCTAAGGGTAAACCAATCCCAGGACCTACCACCGTCCTGACATCAAAGTCGCATGGTAGCAGATCGCTCTCTGAACCACAAAGGCTGCGGCTGCCGGTGGTGGTGAAAACCTGGGGTAGACTTTGGCCAGACTGACCTCGAGATTCCAGGGAACCACAGTGGCTTAACCAACAAATCTCCGAAAAGTGGTGGTTGTGCCGGGGCCTGCACAGCCAGTAAGGACGGGCCGTTCAAGCATAAAGTAAGTGTCAAGTTTTATTCCATAGCTCATTTATTCGCTTATGAGTACAACTCGATTACTACCTATTATTTGTTAGAGATTTCAACCGCAGTTTTTAAGTTCTTACGAAATACATATCCGCAGTACAATTTACGCCTTTGTTCAACCGAGAACTGTCTCTATAACTGTCTCTGGCCAAATTCCCTATGAAAGCATTCTATCTTTACTCTATTTCTCTTTTCATCTTCATCTGCGAAATGAAGGAACTTTGAGAAAATATGGTTAGAAAAAAAGATAAAGTTCTCGGCGTTGATCAATCTCTGAAGGATGCGGCATGCATTCAACTTCACTAAGCATCGTTTCCAGGTGATTGAATGCATATCTGATCTTAAGAACGACTCGCGGTGGCCTACCAATGTATCGAGCCAGTGTTGCTATCCTCCCAGACAAGTCTGGTACCAATTTGCCGACTCTGGAGGAATAGAAGGCTTGGTGAGCCATGGGAGCGGGTATCGATTCCACGTGTGCGTTGCAGTGCGCCTCCGACCACTACGCCACACACGCTCTGAGAGAATATGCATATATATATATACAATATGTATATATATGTATATATATAATATGTATATATATATGTATATATAATATGTATATATACATATGTAATATGTATATATTCCTTGTAACAGTTCCCAGGATCGGCTTTCTATTAGCCTCGGCAGTGGAATATGAATGTGTCGTTTTCTTCAGCAATCGCGAGGTTGTTAAACAGCATACATTTACTTCCATGAAAACACAATACAATACAACGCTAGCTGACGTTTCGGCAGTATCGCCTTCTTCAGAGCCTGGAAGGGTATACTGATATACAATCTACTAGGCCAAACGCTTCAATAACACTTACAAAAAGACGAAAAACTATGGTAATTACATCATCAGCAGGTTTTCGAAAAACTCACAGCTTTTCTCCGTGACTTCTAATGAGTAAGGTTAGAGCAGCTGATTATAGTCGCATGTGGTTGACGACTGCACCATCCCACATCAAAAATCGATGCGAACGNTCGCGAGGTTGTTAAACAGCATACATTTACTTCCATGAAAACACAATACAATACAACGCTAGCTGACGTTTCGGCAGTATCGCCTTCTTCAGAGCCTGGAAGGGTATACTGATATACAATCTACTAGGCCAAACGCTTCAATAACACTTACAAAAAGACGAAAAACTATGGTAATTACATCATCAGCAGGTTTTCGAAAAACTCACAGCTTTTCTCCGTGACTTCTAATGAGGAAGGTTAGAACAGCTGATTATAGTCGCATATGGTTGATGACTGCACCACCCTACATCAGAATTTGTGCGAACACAAGGGGTATGTCGCGCATGACGTCCGGGCATTCACCCCTGCTATTCATTGTAGAGTTTTTGGCATTTATCCAAAAAGCCTCAACAAGTTTTCGCGCTGGTGTTCTAGTCTCCTGTGCAAGGGTATTGACATTTACTTCAAAATGTCAGACCTTTGCGTATCCGTATAAAAGCACACCTAGACGGCAAACGAAAACTAAGACAAAGTACGCCACTAGGCACGCATAGGACGGAAAAGCATAGCGGAGACGATTTTGAAGTAAAAGTCAATATCCTTGCACAGGAGTCTAAAACACCAGCGCGAAAACTTGTTGAGGCTTTTTGGATAAATGCCAAAAACTCTACAATGAATAGCAGGGATGAATGCCCAGAGGTCATAAGCGACGTGACCCCGTATGTTCGCATCAATTTCTGATGTGGGACGGTGCAGTCATCAACCATATGCGACTATAATCAGCTGTTCTAACCTTCCTCATTGGAAGTCACGGAAAAAAGCGGTGAGTCTTTCGAGAACCTACTGATCATGTAATTACCATAGAGTTTTTCGTCTTTCTGTAAGTGCTATTGAAGCGTTTGGCCTAGTAGATTGCATATCAGTATACCCTTCCAGGCTCTGAAGAAGGTAATACTGCCGAAACGTCAGCTAGCGTTGTATTGTATTGTGTTTTTCTATGGAAGTAAATGTATGCTGTTTAACAACATCGCGATTGCTGAACAAGAAAACGACGCATTCATATATATATTCCTTGTTCTAATTGGATGATTAAAGCAGAGGATTTTCTGCTTTAGAGAGCAGAGAAAGCAGAGTATGAGGGTATAACAGGACATTGTCTTACTCTATCGTAATCATTTCCGCTAGTTTCGTCAACAGTCTTTCTTGATATTCAACAATTTACTTTATCTTTCAAGCCGGCTGTGTTGAAGAACAGCAGCCAGCCACAACCGTATCCCATCCGTCGACCTGTCGCGTTCAGTGCTCGTCCCATTTTCTGGTAACCTAAACCGTCCAACATTTATTGGAACCCCAATCGCCATCGTGACAAAATACCATCAAAGAAAATCCTCCATGTTTTCGATCTTGTTATTGTCTTATTTAGAATAATGCAACAGGAGCGGTTTCTAGTTTCATTTTCATAAAAACCACTTGTTTGGCTGCAAACTTTGACTCATTTCATTTCCATTTTGACCAAAACTAATAATTTGCTACCATGGAAATTTAGAAAACAAGGACCGAATTTATCCCGCATTATTTTGAAGAAAGCAGGAATTCGTCCAAGTAAACTAGTAAAGCAAACCCACCGTATAAAAAACGTTTCGATTCTGATTAAATGGTTCCAAGGTGGTTTCCTATTTTCTAGTGTGGTCATCTTAATGTTCTCCCAACGGTTTACCGCCTCATAGTGGCTTGGAGGTGCTCCTGGGTGTCAGGCTACGATAGCGAGCGACTCCTGCTCCTCGGTTGTCGTTCAAGTACACTGTGTCTGGCAAACCTTCGCGTCAACAATTTGGCGTATAGAACGGTGTCTTTGACCTTTTATCGTTGACTTAGGTCGAACTTTGAGGTCCCCTCTCTCATTTGAGTGATACGGGATACTCCTTGCATCGTAAAAGTAATGTGGTATTTCGGTAGATATGAAACTAAGTTCCGACGTATGTCCTTTAGCTATGGTTCGGATCCTGATGTTTACAAGGCACTTAGGGGCATGAAGGAGGAAGGTTTAAACTTTCGGTGATTATCAGTTTCTGAAGGATGCGCCACGCTCTCAACTACGTGAACATGTAGAGGTGAAATAAGCATTTGTTCTATACATCTTTGTTTTTGTCACCGTGCAAGACAAGACTGTTACGAGTTAATCGGCCGTAGAGGGATAGAGGACTTGTGCCCACAGGAAGCGTGATTGAATCAACGCCCACGTTTTTATTCCAGTGCACCTCAAGTTATTGAGCTACAACAGCCCACTGGTCAATCTCTGAGGGATGCGCCATAAATTCTACTTCATTAAGCATCGTTAGAGATTTAATACATATGCCGTTTAAGGTTGCTTGTGGTGGCTCACCGATGTATTAAATCAGTGCTTCTATCCTTCAGGACAACTGTGGTACCAATTTGCCGACCCCGGAGGAATGGAAGGCTTTTTGAGCCTGGGACGTATGATCAGGCCAGCAACGACGGGTGTGGTGCAGAACACTTCTAACCAGTGCGCAACACGCTCATGGAACCCACCATGATAAGTGGCTAGCTGCAGAACAAATGCGAACAGTTTTTTTTTTACCATGGCATGCAGATGGATTTAAGTTGTGGACCTCTATTTATATCATGTCAAGTTACTCCATGACTAGTGGGTTTGAAGGTGATGTAAATGATGCAAGCCTCATCTCTGATACGGATTTAAGTTATAAATAAACTTCTTCCTTTCTTGGGACCATTTAAAATTTCACATTTGTTTCTAAGAGAATCAAGTATTTTCTAAGAAGGCAAGCTAAAAGGAAGGTATATGTGGCATTCACGTAACTGGAGAAGAGTTATGGAGTATAGATTATAGAGTTATGGATTTTTTTCCTCATAACGCAGAAAGCGGGTCGGAATGCTGCACGACAGTCACAGGAGAAACGTACGAATGGAAAATGTGCTGTGGCTCGGCAACTATTTTATACGAACCGTATAAATTGCAAAAACCGAAATACGGTACACAAGTTTATTTCTTACCAAAAGGCATGAACGTGGTGTTTGCATAGCATCCGTCCATTTTCACGTAATCAACGTCCAACGAGGCAAAGGTGTTAGCATCGACCTAAAGAATACTCAAAAGTTGTTGTGAAAAGCATCTGGATTGTTGCTCATTAAGTTCTGTTGTCTTCAATTAGGATAGTTAGATGATTAATGTGCACTAACAGTTAATTAATGCACTAAAATATGCACTGAAAAGTTAGTAGAAGGCGGTTGCTAACCCAATAATGACGACGATTAATTTTCAGACTTTATGGACTTAGTGGTTTTTGACAATAAACTGCGTTAAAACGACCGGTAACTAGAGGACCTGAGGGGTTGTCGCATGACAGGATTGCAGAAGCGATTTTCCCCTATCGCTCTATGGGTACTACTATTTACTACTTGATTCTGTAGTCCGTCATCCAAACATACTGCTATCGCATTTGAAAGGTTTTGCAACTTGTGTGGGGTTTATTTCTGTATTTTTTATACCCAAATATTCTATTTAATAACGATGATTCATCTAACTCTCAAGATGAAGTGACAGTTAGTAGTTAGTCAAATTACTGTTCAATGAACTTGTCCTGCAAAAGGCTTGTTGTAAATTATTTAGCGTAGAAGTTGCTTTTCTCGACTCATACATCATAGTTTGGTCTGTTTTCGATCAACTTTTGAATGAGTGCTTTGTGCTGTAAACAAGTTCTGAAATCTACTAAATTGAAAATGTACACTAATCCAAATCATAAATACAAGGGCAAGTTGTTCTTTAGTTGTCTTCATCGATATTTTGGGTGAGTCAAACCTTAATGGAATCCATGCTGCCTGGATAAATAACCTGCACATGTTTTTGTTCCAATGTCCTCATAAATTCCAAGCTCCAGTTGTCGTTCGTGCATCTAAATTCATTAAAGTGACAACTTCACAAAGGGTAACTCGATCAATATTCTTCTTAATCAGTTTTTGCTTAGGTCATCGGAATTCTGCACTAAAGTGACAGTTGCACATCCAGTGACAACTGTCACATCTCTATTGAAGAAATCAGTGGAGATTTTTCATTACGACAATGTTAAAGTCCTTTTTGTAAAACTAAAATTAGTTGTCGTACATATTTCGACAAGTTCTTTATTCCACTAGGAAATCGTTTACGATCAACTATGAGTCGTCCCTTCTCATCCCTCAAATTTTCCATCCAGCAGTCATCTATGTGGATACGATTGTAACCAGCAGTAAGAAATCCGTCCTTAACTTAACATAATTATCAGCCTTCTCCAAGAAATTATTCCATAAGATTTTTCGTTCCACTTAACCTACCAAGACGATCAGCCATGTCACGATAGAGTTTTTCATTGATACAGCTGTTCGGGAATTTTTCGCAGTCGGTTTCACAATAGAACGCTGCCCATGACATCCAGCCCATCGAAGGAGTTCTGTAAATCGAAATAAATCCATAAATTTTGTGTACCCACGTAACAGCTTACAGCTAAACGACATTTACTTATATAGGCCATTGTCCAGGCTGGATACTGTAATAATATAGAAGAGGACTATTGGCCAAGTGATGAACATCATCCTGCAAAAGTAAAAGTAGCGAAGCAGCTTGCTTTGAAGACTGTGGTGAAGATCGGTGATTGTGTATCGAGCCAGACGACCAGGAACGATTCGTTAGTGAAACAGTTGTTACTTATTGCCGCGGGTTGCTGTCTTTCGCTGTGTTATGATGCTTATTGCTGCCATCCCGGACTTGTGGAAGCTCGTATGTGCACGATCTTCGTTAATTCTACTCCAAATTTTGGCTGTTAGAACCTTATTTACAAACAATGCAACAATAAAAGCATAGCGAAAGTTCAGGATGTATATGGAATGGAGGCTAAAGTGTAGCTTCAGTACATTATTGATGCACGACGATGTGAAGTAAAAGTGGAAGGATAGAGCTCTCGAATTCACCAATCCCTGTGGAATGCGCAATGCAGTCGACTCCACTTAACCACAGTTAACATGAGGCGTTTAGCGTGGCTCATCCTTGGAGCGACACCTATCTTTCAGCCTTTACAGACTTGACCGTTTTTTTTCCTTTTAACATTAAACAGTAACCTCTTGAAGACTAGATGGCATGAGGAGTTGTGGGCAATACAAGATTCTAGAAAGAACTTTATTCTATCGGTCTATATGTATAAATTACATGCGTGCTTATCTACTATGCGTTATTACTGTTTAAGGACGCGCGTAGCCCATTGGTCTAAGGCGCCATGCAACACACACGTGGAATCGATCTCTGGCCCATGACCCACCAAACCTTCCAACCCTCTGGGGTCTGTACCAGACTTGCCTGAGAGGATAGCGGCACTGGCTCGATACATCACTAGGCCACTGCGAGTTATTGTGAAGGCCAGATATGCATTCACTCACCTCCAAACGATGCTTAATGAAGTCGAATACATGGGGATCCCTCAGAGATTGATCAACGCCGACTGCTTTATTGTTTTTTATTTATTACTGTCTATCATCCAAGCCTATTACTTTCAGCGTTTGGAGGAGGTTGCAGCTTTTGTTGACTTTATTTGGCTTTTTTATTGCTGGCATATTTCATAGAATAACGATGATATACCTTAATGATTAAAATAAAATAACACTCCCTTTAGTCAAAGAACTGCCCGATGAGCTTGTCTGGAAAAAAGGATTTCGTAAATTACTAAGTGCAGTGAATGCCTTTTCTGGTTTGAGCCCTTTAGGAAGGGAAACGCTTGCAGCGCAATGGTTAGATGTGCCATGAAATCCTAAAGTGGTCACGGGTTCGATCACGAGCCGCGAGTTGATAAAGTGCTGCACTTCTGATGTGTCAGTAAATTGCTGCAATACTTGTCGGCGAGGTTAGAAGCACTAATCTTATAGACCAATGCGCTCAGATCCGGTCATAGAAGAGGTGCACACAAATCATCACATAGGGCAGACATGCATCTAACTATGCTGCAAATGCAGATGAATGCATAGCGTATCCCTCAGGAATTTATCAAGTCCGAACAATTTAATTTTTGTATCCTTTATCCTTCATAATAGTCAAAAAAGGACTAAATCAAAAGAGGTAAAATACAACGCATGTAGAAGTACCCACAAGAGTGGTGAAATATTGCAAAGCAGTATTTTTACAGCAGTGGTGCCGTTATCACATAGAGGGATTACGCATCATTTCCAGCCATCTATGAGACAACTACATGAGCTATTCGTCACGAAGCGCTTTACAAATAGTGCAAAGAAAGTATGGAAAACAAGAAGTGTAAAGTGTATGAAAATACGGAAATCAATAAATTAGATAGCAGTCAGGAAGAACAGTTTGTTGCTAATGCAAGGAAAGAATATCACCTGTCCACTGTAGTCTCGTTGATCGTCGAGCGACTCGAGTGGGCGCCAGTAAATCTTCTATTTTTACCTGTAGCGTGCAAAAGTAGTCCGGTGGATTCTGATCGCTCTAGGGACTCGTTGAGCTTCATATCTTTCTTCAAGGCTCTCTGTGAAGAACTCTGACCACCGGGTCGGTGGTAGTCCTTCAGTACGTTTGATATCCCGTGAAATCCAGTTACTAACGGATCTCGTCCATAAGTTGTCAACCATACGCATTACGTGTCCGGCCCACCCCATCTTCAACTCTTCGGCGCACAGAATGGCATCCTTGATTTTTGATCGTTGACGCAGGTCGGAGCTTCGGATCCCATCTCTTACTTATGTGAAAAAGGATCCTCTTAGCAACGTCCTTTCGACTGTGAGTTCGATAACGCTGAGTGGTTTTCTCATCATGTTTAGGCAGCAACCACGTTTTTGACGCCTACGTTAACACAGGAAGTGCCTCTGAGTCGAAGAGGTGGGCACGGAGTCGGGTGTTCTTCACTACATCCTCGATGCTCTTGAAAGCTCCCCAAGCCGCTCGTTTTTTTCTGCTCAGTTCTGGAGCTAGGTCGTTCATCATATTGATTTCCCGACCTAGATAGATATAACTGGAGCATTCAGAGATATTCGTTTCGTTGAATGGTGCATGCGAAACCAATCTTCATGAACATCATTTTTGTGAGATTTAGTCGAAGATCAATCTTTCCACAGGTTTTATCAAAGTCGTCAGGCATACGTTCTGCTTGGGTATTGCTCGGCGTTATAAGGACGATGTCATCAGCGGAGCGAAGATGATGTAACTGCAGACCATTGATTTTTACTCCCATATTATCCCATTCCAATGCTCATATGATGTTCCGGGGGGTGGCGGTAAATAATTTTGGCGAGATGGTATCACCTTGTCTAACTCCTTTTTTGACGTCGTTATAGAATGGTGACGTCTTGGTTGTGAAATTTTTGCACAGCTCACTCAGAGTCTTTATGTACTATATGGGGACTCCTTGACTATCAAGGGCTTTGACCGCTCCCATCTCAGTTGAGTCAAAGATTCTCTTCAAATCGATGAAAGTGAAACAGAGCGTTCTTCTGTACTCTCGCGATGCTTAATAAGTTTTGTTATCGTGTGGATGTGGTCCATCTTACTAAATCCTCTTCGAAACCCTGCTTGCTCACATGGTTGCCCTTCTTCCAATGTTGTGTCAATCCTGTTTGGGATGACTCGAATGAAGAACTTGTAGACTACAAACAGCAAACAGACTGGGCGTTATATTGACCCTTTTTTTTACTGCCTTGTTCTTTTAAATGGCAGGGTAAGTTGCGAAGTATAACTCGTATATAATGCTGAGATATTTGCAAAATCTCCGGACCGCAGGTGAATGCGGTGTGGAGCGAACACGCGCTGTTGTCCTTACCGGGGAGCAGCGCACTTCACCACCACACCATCCGGGTCCTTCGTTTTGCCTGTCTCTCAGCTAATTCTATCGATCTTTTTACCATCAGCAATCAGCGTTTCTCGCCGCATACATCTGCGGTCCGGAGTTTTGCAAATATCTGAGTATTACATACGAGACTGGGCGATAGTTGCCGATATCGTGCAAGTCACCCTTCTTGATGAATACCACGGTCTTGCTGGTCTTCCACTGAGTAGGGACCTTGCATTCAGACAGGCAACGTGTGAATAGCCGAGCCAGTGCGTTTACGAGGACTGGTGGAAGGTTCTTCAGGTGTTCTGGTCTTATCCTGCCCGGCCCTGGTGCTATTGGGTTTTTCACCAACGAAATGGCATGTAGGATTTTGGAAGGGATTACTACATATCCATCCTCCTTTATTTCATATAACGGAAGGTCTCTCTAAGATCTTCTTTTATTCCCTGTCTGCATTGTTTTGCAAGTTCGGAAGTTAGCTCGCGATTGCCTGCAGCTCGTGCGATTCCACGCTGGCGTATCAACTCGAGGGTTTCTGGAAACAGACGTCTCTGGGTGACTTTCGAACTCTGAGCCTTTATAGCGCTACGTGAAGATATTGAATGAGCTGGTTGTGTTCTTCGTCGATATTATCGACAATGGCGTCTTCCCAACATCCGACTAGTGAATTGAATAGATCCCAGTTTACGGTGGTTCTGTCACTTCGGTTTTAGAATTTAGCGGCTTTTTCTCCTATTCGAAAGAAATAGAATCTTGCACGAAGGAAACGATGGTCTGATCTCGTGTGGAATTTTGGGACAACAGCGACATCGATTAGGCAAAACCTTCTATTTACTATGATGTGGTCTATGGTACTCTCCATTGGAAGACTCCCACGTCCAACGTTGAGGATGGTGCTTCAGGGATTGCGATTTACCATGGATTGTCTTGGTCGCCATGATAAACTCAGATAGCCGCTCACCTTTTTCGTTCCATTCTAATCCATGCGTCCCAATGTGACGTTCTTCAGACGTTCTTTTCGGTCCAATCTTGCCGTTGAAACTTCCAATGGTAACGTTGAAGAATGTGTGGTCTCTTTTGAACTTCTCCAAGTCCATATAGAACGCTTCCACTTCTTCTTCGTCGTAGTTTAATGTCGGAGCGTAAACGACGAAGATTGTCAAAACCGGAGTTGATCCACGTCTTCTTAATCGTAAGCGTCCGATTCGGGTTGTAAGTTGTTCGAATGAATCGATGTTCATGGACAAACTTGTGTTGACGACAACGCCGACGCCGCCTAGTCCTCTACTGTCGCATGTTCCGAGGAACAGTTCTTGTCCGGTGTCATAGACGGCGTTGAAAGGCTGGCGTCGCATCGTCTCGGCTTGGCCGATGACGTCGTACACTACCTTTCTCGCTTGCGTGATCAAGTCGAGGACTCGAATGCAAGTGTACGTGCATTGTAGGTACAGATCGTCAACATAGTTCTTTGAAATCCAGGCAGCTTCCATTGGCCCTGAAATTTTAGCAGCCTCTCGCTACTTGTCCTACCCAGCGCTGCGAAATTGGAGGCTGTTTCGGGGTTTGGGGAATGAGGCCCGTTTTTTTTACTGTGTTTAGCATTTTTGGTACCCAC